TGCCGCCACGACCAATTCAGTGGTTGCAACACAAAGGAGCGATGGCCGTGGAGGATTATAAGGTAGTTGGTTAGACCTAATGGAGTCATGATGGAGAGCATATCTGAGCCTTGTTTCTGCTCACCTACTTGATGGTAGCACATATTATTGACAGTACAAACCAGAAATTAGTGAGGTTGGAAATTCTGCACTGTATTTGAATAATTGATTAATTTCAATGCTGAATAACAATAACCTGTCATTAACAACTAGGTGATCTGTGTGCAGATACAACCTACGTTTTTTGTGTCACCCTTGTAACCTGTGTACTCAAGTGCTCAAAGTGCAGCCTGTGTAGTCTTACAATGAACCTGCGCAAATTGTTTTTGTACCTACGTCTTTATGATCTAACCTGTGTGGTGTCCAACCTGCGCAATTAGAACCTGTGTCATGTTTAACCTGTGCTGGATTAGTAGTTTTGGGGACTTGATTTTTTGGACAAAATACCTTCCACAGACTCATGTAGCTCGGCAGCGAGCCGCGAGGGTCCAAGGTCGCGGGCTCGTCGACGTAACCGCCATACGAGTCTGCTGCAGGAACCGTGGAGAGGAGACGTTGCGGGCTAGTATTGGCCTCCGGGGTCTGTTGCTGCGATGGAGATCCGCTGGAAGCCGCGCCGTACGCTGCCTGCGGAGCATACCCCTGGGGTGGGCCCTGCTGGAAGGCGTTGTACTGTGCCTGCTGGTTCGGGTGAGCCTGGTACGGGTTGTAGTCCTGCAGGTAGCCTTGCTGCATCTGCGGGTGCGCCGCGTACGAACTATACTCGGCCAAGTCGCAGCTTTCGCCTCCGTGCCTCATCGGAGGTTGTGCGTAAGTGCCATGAGTGGTGTCCGAAGATCCGGCAGTCATCGAGCGCATGTCGCCTCCCGGGCCTCCCTTGCCAGGTTGTTCCAGCAGCCTCTACGGCGGCTTGGGCGATCTCGCGGTCAAGCTTCTTGGCACGACAGCCGCGACGATTACTTGCGTCGAGGTGGTAGCTTGACCGTGGAAGTTCATAGTAACACAGACGGGACTGGTGGAGGCCGAGGTCGTTGTATTGATGGATGATGAGGTAGACGTGGATGATGGAGTAGTGGAAGGAGTGGAGGAAGAGGCGGTAGAGGTAGAAGTGGTGGGGGAAGTGGTGGTAGAGGTAGTGGTTGAGGTGTCGGATGTCGATGTGCTGGTATCAGTGGTCGAGGTGGCGGTCGTGCTCGTCGAGGTGTCGGTCGACCTGTGATGAGTGATCAGGACGGTGAGTGAGTATTGGCCTCGGGGGTTCGTTGCTGCGATGGAGATGACGTATGAGAGCGGACAGAACGGACTCACCAGTAGCTATGGCTCGAAGATACACCAGACGACCCCGAACGTCTCGGCTTGGACGATGTGACTGCGACTAGGCTCACTGCCACAGATGTCGATGTCCACCGTACACTGGAAGCCAATGAAAGGTGGTAGGCGGCGTGCTTGTTGTAGAAGTGGATGAGATTGTGGGGGAAGCGATAGAGGGGGTAGAAGTCATGGGGAGTGCCGGCCGAGTGATCGTGAAAGAGGGCGGGTGGGCGGCGAGGGGGGTGGGACGTGATGGTTGGGGACGAGGAAGGGAGGGCAGGGTGGGTGGGAGGTGGGGAAAAGACGCACGTTGGTCGAGGGAGACGAAGTGAAGCCATAGGGCGAAGGAGGTTTCGAGAGACTCGAGGGGCCAGCCGTTTCTGGCGGCGCGGACGGACGTAGCGTTGTAGGGATTGGGGCAAGGCAGCCCATTGGAGGAGGCGAGCGTTGCGGCCGTCGTTCTCAAGGGAGAGAGCGAAGAGGCGATAGAAGTTGTGGAGGAGGGTGGGGGAACGGATGTCGGCTGGCTAGATGTGGATCGAAGCACGTAGGGCTGAAGATGAGTGTGCCGACGTGGGTCCTCGCGCAATCGTCGAGGATGCGCGGGGTGAGCACCATGCTCCTAGCCAACGATGCCTGCTCTTCCTGCTTCATGCGTCCCCTTGAGGGCGTTTTGCACTTAGTCTTTGCTGAGATAGAGAGATACCTATTGTAACCTAGCAGGACTACTACTTAATCTGTATAGAGCTATGAGGATCACCCTGCTCAGCAGGCCTCTGGAGGAGATATTTCGAAGCTGTGGGCGCTTAAAGGGTGCATAACCCGTCACAAGGGTCACGGGTTGAACACGGGTCGGCCCTGTGTGACCCTCGATCCATACCCGTGTGTGACACCCGTGAAAACCCGTGCGGGTGTGTGACACCCTTGCCATTGCCTAACTCCAACCAAAGTCAAACATGTTCAAGCCTTCCTCGGATTAGCCAACTTCTATCGGTGTTTCATCAAGGACTTTGCCAAAATTGCACGGCCGCTCACTAAGCTCACGTGCAAGGACATTCAATGGCAATGGGGAGAGGAACAAGAACAGGCCTTCGAAGGACTCAAAACCGCGTTTACGACAGCTCCAATCCTTCAGATCCCAAACAACACGGCCCCGTACAGGCTAGAAACAGACTCATCCGACTTCGCGACAGGGGCAGTGTTAGAACAACTTGGAGAGGACAAGCTATGGCACCCGGTCGCCTTCTACTCCAAGTCCCTCAATGTCCACGAGCGCAACTACGAAATCTACAACAAGGAGCTATTGGCCATCATCCGAGCATTGGAAGAATACCGACACTACTTGGAGGGACATACTGAACTAATTGAGATCTGGTCAGACCATCTCAACCTCACCTACTTCCGACAAGCACAGAAGCTCACACGCCGACAAACCCGATGGAGTTTATTCATGTCCCGCTTCAACTTCGTTCTGAAGCACCGCCCTGGAAAGACAATGCTACGAGCCGACCCTCTGTCCAGGAGGCCAGATCATGAAGAGGGGGTAAGCAGTGATAACTTCGGACAGACACTGCTGAAACCCGAGTTTTTCGCAATCAAAGCCATGCAACCTGGTCACGCCTCCATCGTCGACGACAAGGAACTGCTCGAACGCATCAAGAAGGCCCTTGAAGATGACAAAATGACGAAGCACTACAAGGAATTGCTAGCTAGTGGACCCCGGGAGTTTGGAAAGTACCTGCAAGATTGGAACATGGAAAACGGTTTACTGTTACGACGAGGCAAAGTCTATGTACCCAAGGACCAAAGCATCCGCCTCGACCTGATCAAACTACATCATGACACATTACTAGCGGGTCACCCAGGAAGGTGGAAGACTTTGGAGATCATTGCACGGAACTATTGGTGGCCCGGCATGTCAGTCGCCGTTAAGAAGTACGTGCAAGGGTGCGACACTTGCCAACGGAACAAGTCAGTCAGGAAACCACTGTACGGATTACTGCAGCCAAACGAGATCCCCGCTGGTCCATGGGAAATCTGGTCAATCGATGTCATCTCCCAACTTCCGCCCTCGGTCGATAGATATGACAACACCTTCACGGCAATCGTAGTAGTAGTAGATCATCTCTCCAAGCGCTCCCACTTCTTTGCAGCCAACGATCACTTGTCAGCAACAGAGGCAGCCCAACTCATCTACGAGCACATTCTGAAACACCACGGTATTCCCCGACAGATCATCTCCGACCGAGGAACACAGTTTGCGAGTGCAGCGTTCAAGGAGTTTTGCAAGTTGCTAGGAATCCGATCGTCAATGTCCACAGCCTACCATCCACAAACAGATGGACAGACTGAACGAGTGAACCAGTCTCTCGAGCAGTACCTTCGGATCTTCACTGAACATCGGCCAGACGACTGGGCGTCCCTTCTATCCACTGCGGAGTTTGCGTACAACAATGCACCACACGAGTCGACCGGCCTGTCACCGTTCTTTGTTGAGTATGGGTACAACCCAAAGATGGCTCCTGACGTTCGTGAAGAACTTGCCTTCCCATCCCTTGAAGATGTATTCCACAACCGTGCAGAAGCAAGGGAACAAGCGCAGGCATCGCTCACCATGGCCGCGGAACGAATGAAGTGGTACTACGACCAGGGCCGTGTGGACCCTCCCTTCAAAGTCGGTGACAAAGTTTTGCTCAAGGGACGCGACCTCAAGATCCGTAACTCGTCAGCCAAGCTCTCAGCCAAGAGCTATGGGCCGTACGAAATAACGGAAAAGATTGGACCTGTCGACTTCAGAGTCAAACTGCCGCCGCAGAACAAGGTCCACCCGGTCTTCCATGCTTCAAAGCTCATCCCCTACCATGAAGAGGAGATCGGCAACCGCAACCCAGAGAAACCTGACCCGATTGAAGTCGAAGGCCACGACGAGTTCGAAGTCGAAAAGATTCTAGACTCACGAGTCAACCGTGGATACGTGCAATACTTCGTCAAATGGGCAGGCTATGACGTCTCTGAAGCAACTTGGGAGCCTGTACGCAATGTCAAATATGTGAAGGAACTACTCGATGAATTCCATGCCCTTCATCCAAATGCACCGCAGCCAATCGCTCTCAACAATCCACGACCAGTTGTCCGGGAGTTTCAACGCAATATCTGGTTTGAACGCTTCGCAGGAGCTCAGACCTTGAAGAGGGGGTAGTGTCACAGTTTTCTCGTGCCACGTGACCTGGGGGTCATGTGTACTGGGACAGACGCTCACCTTGACCACGGACAACTTGTATCGGAAAGTGGAGGGGCCAGGATTGAACCCCAGACCTCGTGACGGCCAGGAGCGCCCATCCTCACTCACTGGCAGGTGACTGATGTGACAGCAGGAGCGCTTACTCATTGGAAGGGGTCCAGACTCGGTACAACTCAGATATTAGTTGTAAAGCCACCATGAGGCAGGACATGAGGCAGAGAACTCTGACCAAATGATGGTCAATAGGTACCTGGTCTGTGCACCGTTGTATTAGTATATATAGTAGGGAGTCTGAGGCAGGGAACCTCAGACTTGATCTTCTCGTCGATCCCCCATCTCCTCTGTAGGTAGCTAGCAGCCCTACCTTCTACTACCCCTTCTAGTCTAGGGAATATACTTGCCTACCTCATCTCTTGCTGTGTCACTTGTGGTTGCTTCGCTCCCCAGCACCAACCCCTTCACAAGTAAGCTTGTCTTTGTTTGTCTAGTGGCACAGCTCGTCGGCTGTGACAGGTAGCAGGAAGAGGTTCAGCAGATGAGCCATGTGCAATGTTGGTCCAGCTTCCTTGTCGAGCGCTCATTCCCGAAAAATTTTGGCACCGTTTCCTAGGAATCCTGTATATGATGCATATTTTTCCGAAGGTATTTGAGGTACAGAAGATGTGCGGTAGAATACCAGCCATCAAGCGTGACCCTGCGCCACAAGATGGTCCTTCATTGTCAATCTCCGCTCGAGCGCCTGTGCGCGCGAATCTGCGCACTCGGGTTGGAGTCTTAACTGGCAGTTCTCGGCATATGTGACTTTTCGTGACCACTCCGCGGAGAAATGTCCGAACACTGGGGTCAAGACCCACTCCTCGCCCTTCCGTCCTCTCACTTCTGAACAGAGTGCTTTCATATTTCTCAAGTGTGTTCTATCATGGTAGATGCATGATCCTACGAATTTACATGATTATCACCGCAGAGGGGAGGGAGCGACGTGGCAAACAGTTGTACTGGGCGCTCAGTTGTCCGAACGCTGGGGTCGTGATAGTACAACAAGGGTTATAACCCAAAGGGCAAATAGCCCTTGTGGGGATCAACCCTCTCTTACCCCTCACACGTGACGTTTCCGTCCGCGCTCTGACGCCCAATTTAGCACTGTTAGGGTTTGGGTTTGGGTTTGGTTAGTGTCACGGACGTTGGACAGACGCCCCTTTTTGCCGCCCATTCTTTTGCCTTTGACGCCCACCTTCCATTTCCGGACCATTTCCTTTCCTAGCCCATCCCAGTGTGGATACTGCAGATACGTTCCCACCACCGCATGCTACGTTCCCGTGATCGCCATGCCCTTGCCTTTTCTTTCTCGCCCTTTGTTCTTCCTTTGTCATCTTCACTGCCTCGCTCTCGCGCCTTGTCTTTGGTTGCTAAGCAGCCCCTCTAGTATATAAGGACCCCCTTAGGCGCTCCCTAGTCCCCATCTCGACCTCTTGGTCATTGGGACTAGGTGAGTGGCCATAGTGTTGTATTTCCCTTTGAGTGCTAATGTATAACTTGGTCATTGGGACTAGTCTGTCGCTGTCTGCGTGAAGACTAGCTTTCGTAGGTCTTGTGCCCTCGTGCCGACCTCCGCTCTGCCCCGTCGAGTTTCTTGTTGCGTTTATCCCTCTCCCTCTCTCTCTTTTCCCTTTCGGCTCCTTGCCGCTCGCCTACGGGATCGTCGCCAAACATCGACCCGAGTCTACGCGCCTAGTCGCCACGACAGTTCCGCTTCAGCCATCAACTCCGATCGGTAGGCCACCGGATGCCAGAGGTCGTCGCCCAGCTTCTGGAGTAGCACACCTCCGGTCGCAAAGCCGGAGGCGTCCACTTCGATCGGTGTGGGCCGAGCCGGATCCCAGGAGATGAGCACGGGTTCACTCGTAAACGCATCCTTGAGGGCTTGGAAGGCGAGTCGCTATGCAGTTCCCCAGGTCCAGGGAACGTCCTTCTTAGTCAGGCCGTTGAGCGGTCTCGCGAGCTTAGAGAAGTCCCGGATGAATCAACGGTAGAAGTTGGCAAACCCTAGGAAGCCGCGCAGGTCGCGCAGGTTCGACCTTGACCGGGTCCGTGGCCACT